GTTTGGTGTTGATGTTTGGCCGTGACGCACTTGTTCGTAAGGAACTTGTGCTGTTTAATAAGCGAACAAAAAGCAACAACCACGACAACAACAAAACCTTCCTATAACCAGTCAACAGTGTATCACCGATTCTCGCAAAAACCTGATGGTGATGCGGTCTGTCGCGGAAATACCTACACACAAGACGAACCAGAGACGGGCGATACGAAACTGTGCATGAGCTTTCTGCGCCCAAGATTGGCCAATCTTAACTTTGTTCACACCAGCACACGCAACCACTTTGCACCTGCCCCACCATGTTCGATGGGGAACCAAGCTTTTAAATTGAAATCGGTCATGGCCCCATCCGATCTCCATGCATTTGCAACGACACGTCTTGTTCGCTAACACTGTGCAGCACAGCATTGAGCATTCGTTCAATCAACAAGTTGAAGCCGCCAACCACGGGATTTACATACCTATTGGGTGGTCGGGACGCAAAAAAGACGTGAATCACGGCATGAAAAAGCAACTCGATGTTTCCCGCTTCTGGAAATCTCCAAATGGGGGTTTTGTTATTGCCGGTCATCATTTATCACATCCTGTTGAATTAACCAATTGGCACGGACCAATTTCCAGAAGTGCCCCTTTTTCTTCGTTACGTTCACACCCCTAATTATAGAAAACAGGGGGTCCAAGTACCTACGGGGTTCCCGGTTTCTGAAGCGTTTTGCCTGGGAAAGGAGGTGCAGCGTCGTTCATCGCATGCCAATTTGTCGCCCGACGGGAATGGAAGTTACAAGCAGAACACAGACCGCCTAGCCGTAGCAACGGGAACACTTTGTCCACCATCCATCGTCATCGCCAAACAAGAGAAAAAAAAGGTTGTTGGATTCACGATAGACATGAAACTCCGATCTTACAATGTGCGCTACATACCTTACCGCTACGCCTTACGCAGCAGGCAAGCAGACGGGCAGCAGATCACACTACTGCCAAGTACCGGCAGTGCATACCACAGTAACTTTTGGGCAATCACTTCCATCGCATAGAACGCCAAACAGACGTCATGTCATGTCCCTGTGACGGATAAGCAGACAGGTCGGGTCTGGACGTGCGCTGTCGACTTGTCAGAGCAACCTTTCTGGCTTTTTCAACCTAAAAAAGTTCAAATGAAATCCAAGAAAGATCGCCTTCGCCTGGATCGGCCTTAAACTCAAGTCAAATCATTCAAGCTCGTGGATATCAAGATTCAAGAAAGCGAACAAGCTTCATACTGATCAACACCAGGCTCGTTCGCTCGCTCTCGACCGACCTCGACCGGGATAAAAGGATGATGCTCTGGCCTGTTGTGCCTGGCCAAACATCCGAGTTGATGATGATCTTCTCTCGATGACATCCTTCTCTTACGGAAACAGTTACAGCGTCCAGGCGTTGAAACGAGACGGGTAACGGGACAAGGAAAAGGGACAGGAACCATCCCGTTCTGATGTATCCCAGCATGCCAGCATCCAGCATCCCAAACAACCTTGAGGACCTCATGGTTCGTCATCTATCAAGACCATGTAATGTTTCAACGAAAAGTCGTCGTTCCCTGGGTTCCAGACCTTTTCGTCCGTTCCGTTGACTCGTTGAGCCCCCGACTCCCCGACCCTCGGGCCCTTGATGCCAAGACATATTGCTGCTTTGATGTATAAGTAAGTGGTGGTTGGTATCAGATATATAAGTTGAAGGATGAGCCTCAATCCTCAGTCGTCTCAAAAGGAGGCCCGAGACGGGTAGACCAGAAGGAGGCCTTGTGGACGGTCAAGTTCAGCTACCTGCTGCTGCTGCTGTGCAACCTACCACCCTACCCACATATTAGTATCCATGTCCATGATCTTGACAAGAAACGAACGGATTTAAGCTCGGGTGGCTACTCACTCATCAGTGGCAAGCAACTCGGTAAAACAGTTCATATGAATGGCAAATCTTCAATTTTCTTGCCCGTCGTTTGCGAGGACTCGGCTACAAACAACATCCGCGGGGTTAGGGTTGATGAAGCTAGGTCGTCGTCAAAGCACTTGCATGCAAGTATGTTGTCGTTCCTACAGCCAGCACTCACTTATATACATACATACATACATACTACATACATCCATCGCCCGTGCTCGTACGTGCGTATACAAGTCAAAGAGGGGGTGCAAACTTTCTTTTCATCCTACCAGATGTAGGTAGGTAGGTGTTCATCTGGACATTTTTTCATCCCATCTCAACTTACATCTGTAATCCACAATTGCATCGGGAAATCTCCCAACGTCTCCGAACCAACGACGACATCCGTTCATCTCTATCTTACCAGACAACCAGACAACCGGGCAGATCTACCCCTAGACTACACCCCAAAGGTTTGACGCTGAGAACCTCAGCATAGCCGCGCGTTGTGGTGCGTGGCCTGCGTGGCCTGCGTGGGTGCTCCAGTCTCATGCTAGGTTGATCATTGATGGCGATCAATTTACAATGATGACCAATCTTTGTCCTCCTAAGGGCACGAGAAGAAGAAGTGATATTCCGTTCCGCGTTTTGGATTACCAGGGGGGGGGGGGGGGGGGGGGGGGGGGGGGGGGGGGGGGGGGGGGGGGGGGGGGGGGGGGGGGGGGGGGGGGGGGGGGGGGGGGGGGGGGGGGGGGGGGGGGGGGGGGGGGGGGGGGGGGGGGGGGGGGGGGGGGGGGGGGGGGGGGGGGGGGGGGGGGGGGGGGGGGGGGGGGGGGGGGGGGGGGGGGGGGGGGGGGGGGGGGGGGGGGGGGGGGGGGGGGGGGGGGGGGGGGGGGGGGGGGGGGGGGGGGAACAAGCCTCTGCCTCTTAATTTCAAAGAGAAGACGTTACACGTAGAAAGATTGGACGGAGTTGAACAGTTCCAGAGAAACAAGCTCTTTCAGATGTGGCTCTTGAGTAAATATAAACATATATAGTACATACTGAGATGACAATCCATGACGCGTTTGTCCGGTATTCTACGTCAAGTGAAGTGATAATTGGACATCTTTCACACACACACACACATGAAAATCCCTATAGCAACCAAACACACCTCCTTCAGAAAATGCATAAAACCTCATATACCACTCAATGCATCAGTTTAAAACCCGTTGAATTCGCATTCTACGAACTCACCTTCACTAACCTTCAAGCGTTGCTTCCTAGCCCCACTACCTTACCCCAGACCAGCTGACGACTCAAGTGTCACTCACACCAACTTCAAAAGGTCGTGTAAGTGGTTGTTGTGTCCCGTCCAACTCTGCAAGCTCTGCAAGCTCTGCAAAGCCCAGGAAAAGCTCTGCAGCAACAAACGACGAAAGTTGATGGAGGCTGGAAAAGGCGACAACGAAAAAAGGGCTTGATTCTGGAGTTGTCTAACGGAAGAGGAGAAACGGAAACCAGGGCAGCCTAAATACCTGGAAGGGAGTGCCGGTGAATGGGCGAGGCTAGTGAATGGCCCAGGGCACGGACTTCCAACAAAAGTGCTGACCGTAACACCCGATGAGAGTTGTGTACCTGTAATTGTTTGCTTGTGAGTGAGGTACGTAAGGTCGGTCAAGTAGGTCAAGGAGGTCAGGTCATGCTTGTTTTGTCTTGTCTCGCTTGCTGCTTGTGGTAGCTTGTGGTAGGGTGGTACGTAGATATGCGAGGTGATACGGAGACTATGTAGGAGGCCGGTTGGGGTCATGGGTTTGGAAGGAAGGGAAGGCTGTGATTTGTCTGTACCTTCACATGTTGGGGGGTTTTGATGAAGGGACGGGTGGTGGGTGAGCGGTGGTATAGGGTAGAGAGAGTATTTGCGAGTTATATCAAGTTTCCATGATGGTAAATTCGTAGGCTCTATAGTACGGTTCAACTCGTGCCCTAACGGGTTACTAAGTCGTCATCATATCATCACTCACATCGGATACTACCGCGCCAGCAGCGAGCTCGACTCGCCTTCCTCAGGACAAAGCAAAAGCCCCATTCCTACTATCTTCGTTTTTTTTTTCCCAACCCGTATCTCCCAACCCCAACTACTCCATACTACTAACATCAGTCCTCCTCAACCCTCCACATATACCACATAAACAAACTCCTATAAGGCCTAAACCTCTCACTAATCTCCCTCATCTCCGCCTCACTCATATACTTCCACTTCTTATCCTTTCCGTTCCCTCCCCATTCTTCCCATTCTTGAGTTTCTTAACATCCCTTCCCACAAACGCCGCCATCCCCCTCTGCACGCCCAAATCGCCCAGCGAAAAGACATCCATCCTCTTAAGCGCAAAGCAAGCAAACATCTCGACGGTCCAGAGCCCCAAGCCGCGAACGGCAACGAGTTTGGCGACTAGTTCCTCGTAGGGCGCCGAGGCGAGGAGGGAGGCGGATAATTCGCCCGAAACGAATTTGGCGGCGAGGCCGTGCATGTACTCGGCTTTGCGCTGGGAGAGGCCGGCGGTGCGGAGGGTGGGGAGGTCCTTGGCTAGAACCTGAGAAGGGGTTGGGAAGCGGCGTTTTGTTGGTGTTGGTGTTGGTTCGCCTTCGGCTGCTGGGTGGGCGGCATCATCTTGCCCGTTCTGACCGTCGTCCTCTTTGGCCTCCTCTTGAGAAAAAGCGGGATCGTCGAATAGAGCGACGAATTTGGCTTTTATCGACTTCGCTGCCGCCCCGCTCACTTGTTGAGAAATGATGCTGCTCACCAGACTTTCAAACGGATCGATCTGCTCTGCTAGCCCCTCGGGACTAAAGATGCGGCAGGGGTGCTTGTCGATGAGATGCTTCATGCGATGGTCGACGGCGATGAGGTGGGCGCAGGCTTTTTCGAGGATGTTTTCTGTTGTGGTGTCGTTGTCATCTTTTTCCCGTCGGGGGCCCTAAGCTTGGATGGGGAAAGAAGGCCTTCTTCGGTATCTCTCGGTCTGATGGGACTGGAAGAGACCACTCTAGAGGTTTGAGGGGAGAGTAAAGGGGCGTTGGTCTTGGTTGGATCGGCTAGGCGGGAGACGGCGGCGGGTTTGGGCTTCTGAGCAGCGGGAGAGGAGAGGAGAGCTGCAGCGGCTGGTGTTGGGGTCGCGGGTGGTGGTGCTGCCTTCTTTGAGACTTTCCGTTTCTTTCTGCGGAGTTGAAGATAGTTGTGGTTCTGTTGTTGATGAGGGTGCCGGCTCACCCTCGTCTTCGGCGCTGACCTTCCTCTTCCGGGACTTCGGAGCAGGTGGAGGGACTATGGGAGCAGCCGCGCCGTTGGGCTGGGCTGCGGCCAGAGCACTTAACCGGGCAGATCTCCGGGTTGCCATCTTCACGGTAGGTGTTGTCAATTGGAGACAGTTGAGGGATGTGGTGAGTGTGCGACGAGTGTCGACTCGACCAGGGTGAGTTGTGAGTATCTGACAGTATTCGACTGGCTGTCTCAACCGACCCAATGCCTGACGTATGAGTCTCGATTTAACTTGACAGGGTCTCAATTTCATGAACCCGTCGATATCCCCAAAGAGAGTGTAGTGGCAAAACAGAGGATGAAAATTTGAAACTTGGGATGCTCAACTACTCCTCAATTGGTAGAGTGTGTAGGCAGTGTAGTTCCCCAAAGGAGAGAACAAAGCAAAGACAAAGTAGCACTAACTACACGATAACAGGCACAGGCAGCAGTGTAGCATTCACAACGCGTCTTTGATCGACGTCATGGCCGTCCCGGGTCCGTCGGTGTCGCCTGCTCACGTGGCACGGAGCTAAGTCGTGCAAAGGTCGGGAGAAAGTCCGGGAGAAGGGAGACAGGTTGGAGATGTGCAAACGGACTCCAAAAAATGACAAGCAGTTCCTGCAGAGACGGTGCCGTGTCGGCAGTTTGCAAACTCGTAGCTGTAGCCGATAGGGGGTTTACCAAAAACAAAAGCTTGTCTGGCTTCATTGTGCCCCTGAGAGATGCAGCAATTCAGAGGATTTATTACGTATTGAGGCCCTCTGAAAACTAGACAAGTGTTTAGACTTGAGTAATGAATAGGCCTTACATTGAGTGGTATAGTTTGTGGTGGTTAAACGGAAGCTCAGCTCAGCCCTCATGCTGACTGTAACTGGTTATATAATTATATGGGAAACCTCAAACACGCCCCATGATTGCGGTCCGGGTTTCTGGCCGGTCAACATGCAGTGCCGCCCCTTTTCCACACCCGGGCCACGTTGATATCAAAGGGTTGCAACGGCGGCTCGAATATTGTTTCCGCACCTACGGACCGGACCTGGCGAACCTATTTCCACCGGCCCGCAATCATTACGGCGATTACGGCGTTGCAGCATCTTTTGGGAATAGAAGACGGCAATCGGCCCCGCTCCCGAACTACGCATAAACAACGAGACAAGGCGAGCGAGGGCCAGAGCGCTTGGCGGCGAGCGGAGGGAATTGCACCGACCAGGTCGAGGTGAGGGTACCTGGTAGGTAGAGGGGCATCCTTGTCCTGGGGGAAACATGCTAAAACCCGTGAGATTCTGGATCGAGATGATGGTGGAGGGAAGGAGGAGCCCTCGCTGTCCTTATGTTAAGACTCAAGCCTCGGATGGATGGTAATAAGTATCGGAAACAGATATAATTTGCGCCCCCTCTTGTTGCAGCCATCACAGCACAACAATTCTTTTTCTATTGATAGCAAGGACCAGATGTGCAGTGGGCAGGCTGATCGCGGCCGTTGATCGAGCAAATGCTGGAAACCCTCCCCCAAGCCAGTGTCTCCCCCTTGAGACCGCTCTGAGTGGATGAGAACGGTGCGCCCGGACCATGGCATACTAATTAAGCGGGTCTTTTACCCCCCAAACCCGGGGCCCCGGGGCCCCTGATAGGCTAGTCCATCCTCGACCCCCCCTGAAGTGGACGACGAGGTGGACGGCAGACCCCCCCTGGTGAGCGTGTACGGTGCGTGCGGTGTCCCTTCTCGCTGAGAGAGATTCTGGAACCATTGGCGGGCTGGGCAGTGACCCTTTGGACTTTCTCAGCCTCCGTCCGTCCTCCCGTCTCCGTCCCCGTGTTCCCCGTCCGTTGCTTGAGTAAGAGTTTCGATCCCGACCACACATCAGAATACGCGGACTCAACCGCGTGTCACTTTGCTTGCTTCTGTCTTGTACACTTTCTTGACGACCTTCATACATTTGACGACGACGACGAGAGAGCCATTGCTACATTCGCTTGTAGGATCCTCCTTCTCCGAGATACCGCCTTCGCACTGCCTGCTTCAGGAGACGTGGGCTTTTCCACCCAACCGACACACCCGTAATTTCTCCACGACGCCACACGAATTCCCACGCGAATCTTCCTTTGCTACACCGGGCCATATCGCATTCCTCAGCCGCTCTACCAAAAGTGCCATTGCCGCTGCGCATCGCATCGTCGACCTAGCCGACAGCTACACGGCTCCCATCTCCAACTTTTAGACTTAATATCCTCCTCGACCAGTTCAGCGGGTGGTGCCGAGGGCCACCCCGTTTCACAATAATGCTTCTTCCCAAAGGCGGCGTCAGCTGGAAGGCTGCGAGAGCACAGCTTCCTCCCGCAAGGGCACTATGGGCTATCCTCACAAAGACACGATTCCTCCTCCTCGTTGCCGTAACAGGAGTTGTGCTATTACTATGGCGCGGCATCAGCACAGGCGCCTCCGAGATGCAAAGGTTGGTGTCATCCCATGTCTTGTGCTTCCGCCATCTGTATGCTAACGTCTGCGTCTTCCTTCAGTTTCTACTGCTGGGGTCCCTCAAAACCGCCAATGGAGATGACCCTCAACGAGCAACAAGCTTGGAGTGCTCACCTCCACACCCCTGTTATCTTCAACCACCACGCTCCGCTAGAAATCAACTCGTCTACCATCAGCCACGTTGACCTTAACCCCGTCAAGTCCACCACCAAGGCCGTCGCCAACGAGGAGCGCATCCTGATCCTCACCCCCCTCAAGGATGCCTCCAGGTATCTCTCCAAGTACTTCGAGCTGATTGCCGAGCTTACCTACCCCCACCACTTGATCGATCTCGCCTTCCTCGTCGGCGACTCTACCGATGACACTCTTGCTGTCCTTGCTTCCGAGCTTGACCGCATCCAAAAGCGTCCCGATCAGATCCCCTTCCGCAGCGCCTTGGTTGTCGAGAAGGACTTCGACTTTAAGCTGAGCCAGGATGTTGCAGAGCGCCATTCGTTCGCTGCCCAGGGTCCTCGTCGCAAGGCCATGGGTCGCGCGCGCAACTACCTCCTCTCTGCTGCTCTTAAGCCTGAGCACTCCTGGGTCTACTGGAGAGATGCGGACATTGTCGACAGCCCCAAGAAGATTCTCGAGGACTTCATTGCCCACGATAAGGACATTCTCGTTCCCAGTATGGATAACCTTCCGTGAAAGACCCCACATGGGCAATAGAGCTAACATGTGATAGACATTTGGTTCCACCGCTACCAGAACGGCCGCGATATCGAGGGAAGATGTGAGTTTTGGACTATCGCCTCATAATTGGTTTCCAAGTTACTAACCGCTTCACAGTCGACTACAACTCCTGGGTTGAGTCCGATAAGGGTCGCAGACTCGCTTCTAGCCTCGATAAGGATGTTGTTCTCGCTGAGGGTATGTTGATGCTCCAAGACACTGGAAGTTGACACAGACTAACATGGTTGTTCACAGGCTACAAGGAGTACGACACCGGCCGCACTTACATGGCTAGAATGGGCGACTGGCGCGATGACAAGGACGTCGAGATCGAACTTGACGGCATTGGTGGCGTGAACATTCTTGTCAAGGCTGATGTCCACCGCTCTGGTAGGTCAACATATTTTTGCGCCTTAGAGAGGGCAGCTCCGGCTAACAATATAGGCATCAACTTCCCCTGCTACGCTTTCGAGAACCAGGCCGAGACGAGGGTTTCGCCAAGATGGCCAAGCGCGCCGGTTACCAAGTCGTTGGTCTTCCCAACTACGTTGTCTGGCACATCGACACCGAGGAGAAGGGTGGCAACGCATAAAGAGTCTATAAACGGATTCTCTCTGCATTGACATCCTGTCTTCACATACCCGATATAAAACGGCGCGGCGGCGAGGGAAAACGCAATTTTTTACATACTGTACGAAAGCCCACGACATACACAGATCAAGATTCATCGAATGTTTCGCCAGCAGCGTGGTGACAGGCCGGCGTTATGGGAAGGGGTACGGCGGGACGGCTCGGATATTTTTCTCTTCGTTTTACAAACAATTTCCAGTCACACTACTCGAAAACCCCCAGCTCTTCCACCAGCCGCCTCCCTCCCCGAGCTCGCGCGCCAACCGTATCTCGCTCGAACGCGGCCGATAAACCCGGGTCAGCTTCCGGTAGCCGGTAACCGCTACCACATCATAATGAGCAGAAACGCACACAACAGACGAAGAAACGTGTACAGGAAGGGTCATCGAAAAACCACCGGTTAATAAAGCATTTTGGTTAACGTACGTAAAGAGGAGGGACGAGGAAAAGTGATGAAAGAAAGAAAGAGGCATGTGTATACATCATGAAGTTTTCTTTGAATGGATAAACCAAAAGTTGTGTTGGGCTTAGAAAGGAGTGTGTGGAAGAGGCAGTGATGGAGGCAGCGAGACAGCCAAGCCCACTCAAGCGGACGTCCTTTTCTCCCTCCTCCTCTCAGCGAGCTTTTGGTTGCCTGGTTTGGTTGGACGGTTGGCTGGCAGGTCGGTTGGTTTTTTTTCCGAACTGGTAAAACGGAAAGAAAGAAAGAAGAATGAAGTTAAGACATAATATACTATACTTATTTTCCTGTTTACACAAACTCTTTTTGTACCTTCTTGTTTACAGACAGAGAGAGTCATTGCTTATCCATAGAAAAAGGGGGTTTGGTGTGCGGATGGTTTTGTTTTTCTTTTCTTTTCTTTTCGTTCTTCTTGTTGTAGGATAGTTTACTCCTTTTTTTTGTTTACACTTGTTCAACTTGTTAACGTAGTAATGAGAGTCACGGTTCCTTCTCATGAGGGACTTGATATACATATCACGCCATCTATACTGCCTTGTCACTTGCTTAACAAACTTGGAGATGATCGAAAACTGGTTCGAGACTTCAACACTTCGACCTCCGCCTGGTATGAAGTTTGGCCCCTGACCATGGCTACCGAATGTTGGCCACGGATACTCATCTCTACAAATAGTATCCGCAAGCTGAAAAGCAGGCTGAGCCCACTAGGACGTTCAATATGACCTCCTTAGAACACTCAAGAGTTGGGTTAACGTGACTCAGCTTTGTAGGAAGTGTAAACTTGACTAGGTACCCGTGCCTCGCCCCCACTTTATTTGGACTCGCCGGACTCGCACCACCTAAAGTTGGTGCTCACGACCGCAACGGCCACACCAGCGCAACGGCCAGGTCAGGGTTAGAGGTGCAGTTTTGGCCATGAATTACCGGTCGCAACATGAATTTCCCAACACAACAAAAAAGTCATATAAAAAAACGCTAACCACAGGCAATGCATCGCCCTGATTATGCTTCTGGTCTTCGTTTTTTTTCAATTGGTTGTTGGAATGCGTTGTGAGCTTTCACCATTTTCGGTATTTGGAATACATTTGCACCTTCAACCCTGGTGGCCGTTGCGCTGGTATGGCCGTTGCGGTCGTGAGCACCAACTTTAGGTGGTGCGAGTCCGGCGAGTCCAAATAAAGTGGGGGCGAGGCACGGGTACTTTGAGTACTCCTAGTCTCAACTCCAATTTTCATAAGCTACCCAAAGCCAATTGGACACTTGAGAACTTTCCAGTGTTAGAAATAAAGCCGATGATCATCGTCGTCTTGGGCAGTTTACACCTCTTCTTCCTGAAACATAACAGTGGCCAAGCATATAACAGGCAGCCATGACCGTTATCTCTCGTTCTCCCTGATGGGATACAGAGTCATTAAGCATTGAGTGGAGTTGGTCATATCTACAATTCATACACTTATTCAACGTACAACACCAGCAACACTAGGTATCAGCTCTCTTCCATCTCTTCCCTCTCTTCTCCTCTGTCTCTGCTTTGAAAAACCCAGGATAAAGTCTATTGCCCATTTTCTTCTATGTGTATAGGTAATTCTTTTCTCCCGTGGTCTTCACCACCTCCACTTCCTCTCTCCCACTTCATGCGGTTGCACGAGTCCTGAGAACGCGAGCAAAACATAGACAAAAAGCCTGGGCTCTTGCCCGTTGCCGTCGCATCCCAAACTCCCAAAACACCCCGTCCACCTTTTCCCCCTTCTCCCCTTCATCCTTTTCCAGAAAGCAATTGGCAGCAAGTTGTCGGGAGTTCCAGGTTCCAGATCGAGGGACGAGTTTTTTTTGCGCGCAATCCACTTTATTGCTTGGTATCTTCGGCTTCCAATCCTAGGTAGGTAAGAGTATCCCAGCTTTCCCTTCTTCGGTATTTCCTCTTTCTTTCCCAAGAATCGAAAATCATTTTTTCCTTCGAAGTCGGCCAGTCCAGTCCAGTCCACCGCGCGGATAACGGAAACCTCTCCCTTCTCCTCCCTTCCCCCACACTCTTCCCTTTCCATTTACACCCTCACAGAAGCCCGAAAATGGCGCGCTTAGTTCTTGACAATAGTCAGGGTGTCGAGAGCGGCCTTCTCGGCGGCCTCGGCCTCGATCTGCTCGATCAAGGGGCGGAGGTAGGGGACGTCCTCCTCCTGGGTGGTCCACTCGTTCTTGGGCAGGAGCTTGTGGGTGAGGGAGAGCTGGGTGGCGCGGCGGATGCGGTAGATGCGGTCGTACGCCTCCTTGGGGGGCAGGCGGTTGAGGGCGGCGAGGACGTTCTCGTCCTCCTCGGAGATGAGGTCGTCGGTGCTGTTGGTGGTTGGTTAGTTAGTTATGGGCGGTTGGCAGGTCGGTTATATGGTGGTAGGTAGGTGGGTGGGTGGGTGGTCCTGCTCGGGGATGTGGAAGGGAGGGAGGGGGGAACTGCTGCTAGGGCGCGAGCCATTGAGGTAGAACCGGGCCGAGAGGAGACAGATGGATAGATGTAGGACATGGTGCGATGGTCGATACAGATAGACACAGCTACGAGCTACGTCACATGGGTCCCGGTCCCGGACCACGGCTGGCCATCGAGGTATAAACAAACAAACAAAAAGGAAAACAACAAAAACTCACCGGAGACCCATCTGACGGTAGCCGGCGGCATTGATGTACCAGTTGCTGACGGGCTTGAGCATCTTGGACAACCAGCCCCGCTTAGCGACGGCCTGAGCAAGAGAAGGGGCAGACATGGTGATGGATGATTGTCGACCGGGGGGGTTGGTTAGTCGGTGATAGGTGGTGAGGTGAGGTGGTGTACTCTCTTGTCGTCTGGTCTGGAAGGCTACAAAGCACACTTGAAACACCAAGGTCGAGATTCAAGATGGAGGTCGGAGAGAGCTAACAAATTGCCGCGACCCGCAAATCAGCAGACCCGCGAAAGTCAGCCAGCCAATTCAGCCAGTAGAGAGAGAAGCTCCGGGTGCTCCGTGCGTTCTTTCTTTCCCAGAACCCGTCTCCCGTCCCTCCGGGAAAAGCCGTGTCCAGTCTGTGATTTGTTGATGCCTCAAAGCTCAGGCTCTACGAGGATAGGGAATTGGAAGGTCCAAGGTCTTCTTTTCTTGGCAAGGGTTTGGGTTACCGTCCCTGCCGTCGTCAAAATGCCAAGCCAGAAATAGGTAACCTGGAATGGGCCGTGGTGGGTCTAGAATTGGAGCCGACGACCAAGGGCGCCGCTTTTTTGCGGGCGACGGGCGCTGCGGTTTGGCGTTGAGAAGGCAAGCTCCCGTTGGAAGCCCAGGGTGAGGTTACTTGGTAGGTGACCACCGGCGCTGCTTCGCTGCAGTGAAACTGAATCTCGACTGATATCATCTCTTGTCCGGGGAAAGGTTAAACGGCCTGACTGCCGTCTGAACTCCTGAGACTTTTGAGACCTGACAAACACATGATTGTCTGGACACTTTCTGGCCCCAAACACTTTTTGTATCTTCATGACTCGGATGGGAAATTCGAGGCAGCACCCAGCGCATCCGGAATTGCTCCTTATTCTCACTCCCTACGCACTACGGGAGTCACGGGCTGGTAGTGGACAATCAGTGAAGGTGACATAATTGGTAACCATAATTGGCATCCGCGTCCCTCCGTCATTGCCGTTGGCTCTTGTGTAGATAGTTTCCTTAACAAGATCCAACCTACACATTAACATGTCCATCCTCGGCCTCAGTCCGGCATTCGCACACAAGGAAGTTACTGTTATAATCTAAAAGAGTCGTGTTGTAGCTTCCACTTTGTTGAACAAACATCATCCATCTCTTTGCCAAGAAACCCTTTCTTTGAGAGACGGGACTTCCCCCACATTTGCCATTCTTTCCTTCGACCTGCATACCTAGCTCTATACTAGGTAGCCGGGCAGGTGCTCGTGTGCTCGAATCCTACGAACCGAAATCTGTCTCCAATTGCGAAAAAGAACCTTCTTCCAACGACAAGTTCCCAAGGATCAGCGCCAGGGCCTCTTTCCAGCGCAAAAAACCCGGCTGCCCCGAGCCTCACGGACGAACGGTGATATCTGTTGAACTCTTGTTATCAACACCTCGGTCTTCGACTCAGTCCCCCAAGCGATCCTCTTCCCCGCACCCGCGCTAGTACGCTGCTGCAATTCCCCAAGCCGGGAACATCAAGAACAGAGAGAATCACAAGCCAACACCAACAACACCCCAAGACTCCAAACTCCAACAAGCCGAGATCACCACCCTCTTTCCGACACTACGGCGGCATCACGAGTCACCGATTACTCCGGGGTCTCTGAGTTGCGACCAGCAGAGACCCCTCGAACAAAGACGCATCAATCCGTCTCGATCCCTTCGACCCGTTCCCCTGCGTCTCGATTCCCCAGTCCCAGTTCCGACTCGAGTCGAGAGAAGGGTAGCGGCATGTCTAATCTCGAAACCCAACACCACATCTCCCACTCTGGACCAGATTCCGCGAGTTCGGCAGCAGAATATGGCGTGCCACCCACCACTCTTGCCGACTCGGTGACCGAAGAGCTGGAGGAGACAGAAACAGCAGGGCACGACATAACAGAGGAGAAGACTGACATAGCGCCGGCCGACCCAATGCAAGACCCTAGCCGGATAACGGGGCTGGAAAGATGGGCAGTCCAGGCTTCGGATTCGCAGTTCAATGCGCTCGCCGGCGCAGTGGGAGGCTTGATGTCCGGCGTGATTACCTGCCCGCTGGATGTCATAAAGACCAAGTTGCAAGCGCAGGGCGCGGGGCACCATGTGGGCCAGCCTAGGATGTACAATGGCTTGGTAGGCACGGCGAAGGTAATATGGAAGCATGAGGGCATTCGCGGCATGTATAGGGGTTTGGGTCCCATAATAATGGGTTACTTGCCCACTTGGGCCGTCTGGTTCACAGTCTACAACAAGAGCAAGATATGGCTAGGCGAATACTCCGGTATGTCTTTAGTGTCTGTACGGAGACAAGGCGTCAATGCTAACATATATGCGACAGACAAACCAGTTGCGGTAAACTTTGGCGCATCCATCATAGCTGGCGCTAGTAGTACCATCGCGACCAACCCGATATGGGTCATCAAGACCCGACTGATGTCGCAGTCAGCATCGCACGACACCCCTTGGCACTACAAGTCCACGTTCGATGCCGCGCGCAAGATGTACACCACCGAGGGCATTCTGGCCTTCTACTCCGGATTGACACCTGCTCTTCTGGGTCTCACTCACGTGGCCGTCCAATTCCCCGCCTACGAGTTCCTCAAGACCAAGTTTACTGGACAAGGCATGGGCGGCGCCGCCGGCGACCAGAACACCAAGCCAAGCTTTATGGGCACTTTTGCCGCCTCCGTCCTCTCCAAGATTCTCGCCAGCAGCGCGACGTATCCCCACGAGGTCATCAGGACGAGACTGCAGACACAGCGCAAGCCGATGCTGGAACAGGAGCACTTGCAGGGTCTGGAGTGGTTTCCAAGAACGGCGCTGAGTCAAAGCAGCTGGCAACATCACTGCCCAAGTACAGAGGCGTGGTGGGCACCTTCAAGACCATGCTCAAGGAGGAAGGGTGGAGGCGTTTTACGCTGGTATGGGAACCAACATGATGAGAGCCGTCCCCGCGGCGACCGTCACCATGCTCACGTACGAGTACGTGATGAACCACCTGAAGCAGGCGAGGCAGCATGGAAAGGAGAAGCTGGCCAAGGTTGCGGAGGTTGCGGCTGTGAAGGCTGAGAGTGGAGAGAGGCTTGAGAGGCCTGAGATTTCCAGCAGCACCAGCAGCTAGAGACGTGCAATGGGATCGAAGGGTGCTCACATGTCTTGAGTAGGTGAGGGTTCGAAAGTTGGATATTTATATATGTAGCTTATATATGGCGCGAAGCGAACATACACACACACACACACACATACACACACAGACGGAACGCGCGCAAAGTGGAAAAGCGGAACGGGACTGGGCGGGCAAAGGCAAGATAGGATCACATTGCGATACCCCGGAAGGGCGGTACTGGTACTCGGGATTCTTCATATATATACCTTTGGTATACCGGTATAGCGAGCATATATAGTCCTATGTTGAGCATACTTCAGCTTGATCGTGTGGTTGTCGTTCAAGAGATAATTTGGATTCCTCGCCAGACCAGTGAGTGATCTGAGCATCTTAGAAAGCGTAGTCGGCCGCAGTCTTGTCCACAAAACTCATGATGACTTGTTCAAAAACCTCAAGAGAAATGGCTACTGTATCACACTATGCCCATAAAAGGTAGCGCTGCGTGACGGGTGTTGAATGCGCTCATTCCTAGGTCGGTCCTCAAACGTCGTCGGAAAGGGAAAGACGCTCGGTCCACTTACACGGGCAGTTAGTTCTATAGTACGATGGTGGCAGTGGTAGCGAAAGAAACCTCGAACGATACGACCAACAAGACCAACGACGACAACCATTCATCACCTGTACCAACGACGCCCATCTCTGATATTTCTTTTACTTTAATTGACCTACTTCTCCTTTTCTTGATCCTCCCAAAAAAAAAAAAAGAAAGAGAAAAACCTCCACACACCAAAAGATCAATCAAACCCCAAAATGAAGAAGACATCAAGAAACATCAACCCAAATGTTAGCTCGTCGTCCCAGTCAGTGTCCGATGACCTCGGGAAACTAACTCACTTACACACAATCAACAAACAGACAGTAATGGCGCCCCTGGCAGCCTTCACAATGGCTTGGGTCCTATTTGCTTATACCAGGCATTCTATTCAGGCTGCGAAGGTTAATGCTGTAAGTTTAATTTCACCTTTTTTTGGTTTGTCACTTTACTTGGTTAGGCATATGGCTTTGAAACACCAAACCAGGCTATTTATTGTCTCTGTTGTGTTTTCATCCGATGGCTTAGGAGTTACATAGAGTAGAGTAATGCTGACAATAGACGCGCGCGCTGTTCTCATTGTAGAAACTCACCCGCGAACAAATCCAACAACAACAACAACAACAACAACAACAACAGCAGCAGCAGCAGCAAGAGCGAGAGTATCGGAACCGGGAGAGGCATTCGGACAAGTAAAGTAACTATTTTTGTGAGGGAAGTGGGGGAAGAGTGGCATTGAACTGAGTTGACGACGGAGATATCAAGTGTTAATAAAACTAAACCGAACACCCCGACTAGGTAGCCTACACCTCCAGTACCTTCTCTCACCTATCCCCCCGTGTCCAATACACCTTTTGATCATAATCCCATCTCTCTCCCGAAACAAAAAGGCCAAGCGGATTCATATCTCTGCGTTTCAAGCCTTACCAGAGGCATACGAGAGATTGTCACGGCCTATTGCAAATTGACTGACTGGTATTGTGAAACTGGCCATGTTGGGTTTTATTCTGAGGACTACTCGCGGGGGGGGGGGGGGGGGTGGATGTGTTAGAATAAGGGGGGAGATCTATATAGACCAACCAGTTCGACCCTATGTGTGTTTCAAGAGTTGATGACGGGGTGAATAGGAAGTAAGACGTCAGATCTATTCAGAGGAGTTTGAAACACTGCTATGTGTCTTTTCTAAACTGTCGTCAGTTCGGCCACTGTTGTACCTATAAATATCCCCCTCTCCCTGTCTCTTTCAACCAAACCTCTTTCTTCCTCCTCACCAACCAACCACCAACCACCACAGTTTCGATCCGAGACCAGCCTTCACAGCCTTCGCAATCTCTCAGATTACAGCAACAAAGCCATCAGCTTCCATCCAAACCCACTCCAACCCCAACCCATCCAAAAACCCATCCGAACCCATCAACCAGACAGAAAAACAAAATGGCCTACCCAATGAAAGACCGCCCCTCCCCCCTCTTCCCTCTCCACCCCCGTCCCTAGTTCTGGCCCCCTCTTAGACCCGGACCCGGACCGAGGAACCCCTCCTCCTCGTCCTCGTCGTCCTGCCCCAAGGGCCCCGCCTAATACGCCTGCGCCTGCGTCGCCTTCGCCTTCACCCTGCTCCGCCTGCTTCGCCTGTTGCGCCTGAGGCCTCTTAAAAGTTTAAGAAGCGAAGCGACCCCATCATCAGAATATCAAAGTTGATATGGATGGACATGAGATGACAAGGACAGCAAGCACCATGGGAGTAAAAGAGGGCAAACGGGAGCAAAGTTGCTCTGTTCAGATCGAAAGGCACAAGCAAGGCTTCCTTCCGTCTCAAGCACGGCTTGACCAAGGACTAAATCGACATTGACTTGAAGGTAATGGAGGACTGAGGTGAGGATCAGGGAGTGGAATGGCGGAGTATTAATGGACAGAAAAGACTTTTAGGGATGGACGATAGGGGTTTGACGTTTTAATAAAGGAGTGATGGGGTTCTTATGAGGCATGGTTGTTGTTTGTTTGGGCATGGTCTGGCTGTTCAAAGGGGGGAATGGGTCTGGTATCTGTTCGAGTTGCTAGACAACGATACTGGGACGTACTACACTACTTATATACCCCCGCCTCAAACTTCTCCAAATCATAAAACCTCGGGACAATCGCGTTGCCGTTGAATATGCGACCTTCGAGTGCGTTGACAGCCTGTAATCATCACCCAGTCAGTTAGCAAAACACATCCTCAACAACAACATCATCATCATCCCCATCCCCAGAAGAAGAAGAAGAAGACTTACCCTGAGCGCCGAAACCCCATCCGTAAACCGAATAAACACCCTCCTCCCCTCCCTCTCCACAAACAACCTCATCACCCTTCCATACTTCTCTCCACACTCCGTCCCAATCTCCTCATACAGTTTCCCCCCTCAACCTCCTGCCTCAACTCCTCATCACTCATCCCATCAAGCATATGATCCAACACAATCACTTCACTCATCTTCCCAAACCTGCCACCGTCCTTTTCTTCCTTGGACGAACCACCACCACCACCAGCGGCAGGTTTCCCAGCAATGATCTTCCCCCTCCCACCAGGTTCCGCCCACCCACCCCCTTCAGCATCCGAACGCTTCTTGCGCTTCTCCACTTGCACGCGCAGCGCGGAGGTGATACCTGATTCTGAAGCTCCCAAACCGGAGCCGGCGGTCCAGCCGTATTTGGACATGAGACGGGGGCGGCGAAACCGGCTTGGCCTGGTAGTTTTGATTTGGGAGCGTCAGAGGAGGCGGATTCAGGTTCTTCTGAGGCGGAGGCGGCGCCGAGGGGGACGGGGATGGCGTCGTAGTTGACTTCTTCGTTGTCGGACGAGTCGAGGTCCATTGCGTCGTCGCCGGAGGCTTCGGGGGCGGAGGGGGGTTGTGGTGGAGCTTCGTAGCGGACTGGGGCGCGGGAGATTGTTGCTGTATCTGGTGCTGAGGGTTCGGCAGGTGGTTGTGGTGGAGGGGGGGAAGGTGATCGTCGTGGTGGTGCCATGCCTGATAGTGCTAGTCTTCGAGCGTAGGCTTCGTCGGCGGATTCGTCTACTGGTATTGATACCGCTGGCGTTGGTGCTGCTGCCGTTGTTGTAGCTCGTGGTGGTGACATGGGTGGTGGTGCGAACGAGAAAGAAGCCGGAGGCGCGAACTGGTCTGTTGTATATCATGTCAGCCGTTGTTCTCTCATATGGTCTTGACCCCAAGCTCTTGAACGTACTATTCGTGACCCTCCTATCCTCTTCCTCCTCTTCATCACTCCTCCTACTATCAAAGCTGTCCCTCCTCTTCCGTCTATGCGCATACAACACCGCCTTCCAGTCGCGAATCTCCCTGATGCGCTCGTCGCTGCGAAGGTATTCCTCGACATTCGTAGGTCTTGCTGGATCGTAGAGCTCGTCCCAATTCGTCTCGACTGGTCGGTCATCGTTCTTCTTCTTCTTCTTTCTGCGCCCGCCGCGTTCTCGTCGGTTGTTGGATCCGTTGTAGAGGTACTCGTCGTCTTCGGTGGCTACCCAGTCGGCTAGGGTGCTGCGCTGTTGGGGCGCTGCGGCATTCGCTGTTGATGTCGTTGTGGCAGCAGTTGTGCCATTGTTTTCGGGTTCGGATGTCTTGACGGTTGCCGCGACTGCTGCTATGGATATGGAGGGTGGCGCTTTGGGGAGGGTTGGTTTGGGTTTGTTTGGTTGTTTGACTTGTGGTCGGCGGATGGGTTGGAAGGCGAATGCTGTCGGGTCTCTATTAGCGGTTGTGCTTGACGTGAACATCCTGAATGAAGATTCTGACCTGGATTTACGGCCTTCTTTGCCGGGGCGTCTTCTTGCTTGTTTGCGACAGCATCGTTCGAGGTAGAGGTCGAATCGCTTGTGCCACTGGGTTCGAGAAGGTTGGCGTAGAGGGACAGGCCTCCTCGCGCGGGTGGTCCTGACATGTCGTGTGATGGATAACTTTGTTTATGAAGATCAATTGGAAAACGGAGTGACGATGACTTCAGCCTTGTTGAACGAGAGACCGAGGCGCGATCTGGGGACCGTTGCCGCGCCTGGACGGGAACTGATAAGGAAAGTTGGGCCCCACTTTTGCGCCTATCACTCAGCGGTCCCCAGTCCACTGTAACTCGGTTGCTATCCGCCAACTGCTTGAGCCTTGACCCCTGAGGAAAACAAACAAACTCCCCTTTTCATCTTCCTCCATCTTCACGAATTCACGACCATGGGCAACAGGACTCTGAGACCGGAATCTAAACACCACGTCAAGAAATGTCTCGGATTACCGAATTCATGAATACTGGACGCTTATGTCAAGTCTATGAAATGTCAAGGTCCTGGACAACAGCCATGGACGGCTTCCTTCCGCCTTCATAAACCCTTCAATGCAACATCAACATCCCCCCATTAGCACAAACAACCTGTCCCGTACACCACCCCGCCTCCTCACCACACAACATGCCCACCACACCCGCAATCTCCCCCGTCTTCGCCAGCCTGCCATGCCACTGCTTCGCCTCCTCGACAGCCTCCTTGCCATGCAGATCCTCCCGCGCCTTCATCAGCGGCGTGTGCTTGATCCACCCCTCGATGCCCTCCAGGAACTCCTCCGAGTTGGACGCGTACATCGGTCCCTCCACGGGGCCCGGGTTGACAGCGTTGACTGTGCAGTTCTCAGCTAGCTCACGACTCCAGGTGCGGGTCATGGCCTCGATGGCGGCCTTGGAGCCGCCGTAGACGGACTGGCCTACGAAGCCTGTGGACGAGGAGACGGAGGAGATATTGACGATGCGACCGGAGCGGTCTTTGGGGAGGTAAGGCTGGGCTGCTTGGACTAGAAGCAAGGGGCCGAGAACGTTGACGCGGTAGGTTTCTGTGAAATCATCAACCTTGACGTTGGGGATCATGTCGTTGCGGGCGAGCCGGCGTTGTTGATGATGATGTCGATCTGGAGGGAGCCATCGAACTTGGAGAAGGCGGACTTGGCCGCGGC